AAATAACAAGAAGAGGTTTTGTTGTGAATTATAACATAATCTAGGAAGGGGTAACAAATGATTGATCAACCTCAGTTTGAATGAAATTGTGCAATCACAGGTAATGTAAGCTCAAGGTAAACAATGGTGGGGTAAGAAATTTCATTTTCAAAAGTTGTCTGAAATATCACCCAAAAAATTGTCAGACACACTACAAGTTGCCTTCAATAGCGTGTATGACCTCCAGCTGCCTCAATGCATGCTGTGATACGCCGCCTCATCGATGACGCCAGTCTTCTGATGACGTGGACAGGAATCCATTGCCACTCATCTCTCAAGGCCCGCTGCAATTCTTGTCTGTTGTCAGGAGGCTGATGGCGTGCTCTAATCTGTCTGTCAAGATGGTCCCACAGATGTTCAATAGGATTCATGGGGCAGTGGGCAGGCCAGGGCACAACGTCAACGTTCTGCTGGTTTAGAAAGATCCGAGTCGGTCTTGCAGTATGGGGCCTGGCATAGTCGTGTTGAAACAATGTCCCCTGCTGTTGGTTTTGTAAGAACAGAGGCACAACTGGCTGCAACACTTGGTCTCTGTACTGCACAGCATTCAGGTTTCCCTGTGTAATCACCAAATCAGTCTTCTGATCTCTACAAATACCTCCCCACACCATGACATCTCACCCGCCAAATGGATGGACCTCTCGAATACACGCCGGAGCCAAACATTCCCCTCTTCGTCCGATAAACTCGTTCTCTGCCGTCATTTCGAAGCAAGTTAAACCGACTTTCATCAGTAAACAGCACTCAACGCCAATTTCTCACTTGCCAGCGTCGAACCTGCCTCGCCCATCGCAGTCTCAGGCGTCGATGTTGAGCAGTCAGTACCATTCCTCGGAAAGGATGATACCATCGGATTCCAGCAGCACGAAGTCGTTGTAGTACTGTATGTTGGCTAATGGAATGTCCCAACGCTGTTGCTGCCGTGGCCGTGGCCGTCGCCGTTACGAATCTGTTTCACAGGTGAATGAGCCATATCTGACCGTCTTCCAGTGGTGTTGTCACTTGGGGTCGTCCGGTTCTAGGCCTGTCCTGTGTCCTCCCTGTCTGCCTGTACCGTTGAATCAGCCTGGCTACTGTCAATGGTGTACAACCAAACCTTCTGGCAATTCGGACCTGTGTTGCCCCCATTTCGGCCATACTGATGGCTCTCTCTCTCTGCTCCTGTGACAGTCATGGCATTTCTTTTGTGTGCTTTCATCACCCATGGTTAAACCCTGCAGACGAACGCATTTATACAGCTAACATGCATGTGCAGTTTATGCCATAGTCGGGAAACCTGTTTCACCATTTTTTTGTCACCGCACGAGCGCCGTCAAAGGTGGCGCGTTTGGGTGAGGTGTTTTTTGGTACCTGTTCCTGGGCAGTCATATTCCCAATACCCACTTTCCACTAGTTATTGCTGTTTTTAGTAAAATTACAAATTGCCAACCAATACTTTCTTTTGCCGCTTAGTTTAGTTAGAGTTACATCCATGGCACACACTGAATCAAGTTAGGGTTACATCCATGGTACACAGTTAACTAGTAAGGGTAACATCGATGTCATACACTGTTAACTAGTTAGAGTTACATCAATGTCACTCTGCTAACTAGTTAGGGTAACATCGATGTCATACACTGTTAACTAGTTAGAGTTACATCAATGTCACTCTGCTAACTAGTTAGGGTTACATCCATGTCAAACACTGTAACTAGTTAGGGTTACATCGATGTCACTCTGCTAACTAGTTGGGGTTACATCCATGTCAAACACTGTAACTAGTTAGGGTAACATCGATGTCATACACTGTTAACTAGTTAGAGTTACATCAATGTCACTCTGCTAACTAGTTAGGGTTACATCCATGTCAAACACTGTAACTAGTTAGGGTTACATCGATGTCAAACACTGCTAACTAGTTAGGGTTACATCCATGTCAAACACTGTAACTAGTTCGGGTTGCATCCATGTCATACACTGTTAACTAGTTATGGTTACACACATGGCACACACTGCTAACTAGTTAGGGTTACATCGATGTCAAACACTGTTAACTAGTTAGGGTGACATCGATGTCACTCACTGTTAACTAGTTAGGGTTTCATCCATAGCAAACACTGTTAACTAGTTAGAGTTACATCGATGTCACATACTGTTGACTAGTTAAGTTCATGTACAAGTTCTCTGTTTTAGTTAATTATTTTTAAATACTTTAACTATGACAGCTAATGGTGAAACAGGGAATAACAGTAAATTAAAGGATTCATGTTCACCATCTGCCATCTCTTTAATATTTACACCAGTAACAAAACACTGCAACATGTTTAAAAAGTGTTCTAACTATATATTTATCTCAAATCATCATTAAAACGCAAATACAATCCCACTCGTCTGTAACATACTACCGGCACAAGTTTCATAACATATTATTTATTACACATTAATAGACTAACTTTCAGCTGTCACTTGTGTCCGTCCATGCAGGTTCAATATGATGGCCATCTCTGTACAGTGGACAAGTATTCCTGAACTGGTCATCAGGTCACAGGTCACAGGTCACAGGTCACACATCATAAGCTAGTCATAAACTAACAGCAACAATGACTACTTCAGCTCTTCTGTTGCCTTATTGCGTCACACATGCTTACTTCATGGCAAAATATGTTTGTAATATTTCTCATTTGAAATGTCTCTTAGTTGTAATTTTACTTTTGAGTTGTGAGAAAATAGAGAAATCAGCTGTCACATTCTGTAAATCTTGTAATTAATGCGAGCATGAATTAAATGCAAAAAATGCGAATGGTCTTTGCTGGCATTATAAACATCGCATTTCTTTCAACGATAAGCCATTTTGGACAGCAGAAATACCAACTTGGACATATGCTGAAATTAAAGTCCAGACAGACGCCACCCACGCAACACGGTGTCTTTGTTCTTTGCGACTGCGTCAAAGGCCGACACGAGCCAGCGCGCATGTATTGTTTTAGCGGAAGTACTCTACTCAGCGCTAATAAGCGATGCTATTAGGTGTGTGATTGGATTAATGTAAGATTAAGGTGAGGATTATCCTGTAAACCCGACAGAGGATGTTTTCTTTAGATGCTTGGGAGGAGGGGGGTGTCGCATTCATATTGAGTTGCATTTTTGGCTAGGGACCAGTGGTAGCATTCTTTTGGAGACGCATTAATTTCATGATTTACAGTAACACACACTGACAATCTCCAGCTATATAACACACACCTTTCCTTCTGTGAAGTGAACATTTAACTCACTGTGTACAAGTCTTTTATCATACACTCTTGTCTCAGGTGCCAATAACTGTTCTATGTTTTGAAAAAATCAAGCTATGAACCTAAATATAATCAGGTGAGCTATAAACGTTTGATAACCATTTGATAAATCCCCATAATACATGTTGACAATTTCATAATTGTGACATGAAGTTGAAATAAAACAACACAGTATTTATAAACAGTTTAGAGCTGGTAACAATGTTCAGTCATGAGCTGGTAACAATGTTCAGTTCTGAGCTGGTAACAATGTTCAGTCATGAGCTGGTAACAATGTTCAGTCATGAGCTGGTAACAATGTTCAGTCATGAGCTGGTAACAATGTTCAGTCATGAGCTTGTAACAATGTTCAGTCATGAGCTGATAACAATGTTCAGTCATGAGCTGGTCACAATGTTCAGTCATGAGCTGATAACAATGTTCAGTCATGAGCTGATAACAACGTTCAGTCATGAGCTGATAACAATGTTCAGTCATGAGCTGATAACAATGTTCAGTCATGAGCTGATAATAATGTTCAGTCATGAGCTGATAACAATGTTCAGTCATAAGCTGATAACAATGTTCAGTCATGAGCTGGTAACAATGTTAAGTCATCAGCTGGTAACAATGTTCAGTCATGAGCTGGTAACAATGTTCAGTCATGAGCTGATAACAATGTTCAGTCATGAGCTGATAACAATGTTCAGTCATGAGCTGATAACAATGTTCAGTCATGAGCTGGTAACAATGTTCAGTTATGAGCTGGTCACAATGCTCAGTCATGAGCTGATAACAATGTTCAGTCATGAGCTGATAACAATGTTCAGTCATGAGCTTGTAACAATGTTCAGTCATGAGCTTGTAACAATGTTCAGTCATGAGCAGATGACAATGTTCAGTCATGAGCTGATGACAATGTTCAGTCATGAGCTGCTCACAATGTTCAGTCAGGAGACATATTCACTTGGCCGGTTGGTGGTATTATGCATCTGAGGATGAGTGGTTTTAATTCCACTTTCACACATGCCTCTTGCTCACAGAGATCAATTCAACTGTTACAGGATAAAATGCATTTTAATTTTCTAAATCACGTATTTATGAAATACCCACAGTGAAATGTTCACATGCTCCTTTGTTCCAGGGTAGTAACAATATGTGATGGTGTGCCTGTTATGTTGCCAATATCATAAAAGCCTCTCACATGATGACCAGAAAATCTCAGTGTACATATTTCCACACCACTGTTAACAACCTCCTACTTGGTACACGTTGGTGCAGTGCGGGGATTAAAACTTTGAACTATCAAGTAAGTTAATTTTTGATGAACCATACTGATATTAATCCTGGTATCATGCTGATTACACATTCATAGAACAAAACATGAACATGTATGCAAAATTGCCATTGAATCATTCTCAAACATAATTAATAAACAAATAGTTGACAACGTTTTGCTATTTATTGCCTTTAACGAATTGATTTATAGGTACTGTTACAAATCATCATAGAACTTTCCAAGTATGTAGAAACAACTTCAGTGTAATTATATGATAGGTGCACACCACTGTCATGCCTCCTGGTAAACTCATGCTACCACAATTATCCTTCCTGATCACACAATAATGATGAGGAGAAGTAAGTTTATTTACATGTTCATAAGTCTCCCCAAACACTGTCTGCAGTACACAGAGAACATGAATGATGGTTTACCTTTGTGTGAGGGCAGTCAGCAGACACTGTCAGTTGGTGAAGCAGCCGGACACAGCAGCACCCGGTTCCATTACTCCAGACAGGTGGCCATTACAACATTGCCGCTATATCCACACTGATACTCCTTATTGGCCTTCTAACCGCCTACCGCCCGATCCCATGGTCGTGTTACACGATTAACAACAGCAGTGTAACTCCCAGCTCTGAAAGCATTCTTCCTGCCTCGCACAGCAAGGGGATCTGCCTTATAGCAGCTACAACAGCGTGCTAGCAGACTCTGGGAGTTCAATGATTTCCTGGTCACATGCAGCCCACAGAAGTGAAGGGCCCAGATCTCTCCAACCCCTCTCATAGTCCATGGTGGAATATAAGTTTCCTCAATTCTTTCACTTGTAGGTTAAGCATGATTGGTAGATTGTCGCAGCGTTGGACAAAAGCATTTTATGATGCAGTTATTGTGAGGTGAAGCTCCACAAGTCCCTGTGAGTTGCTGCTATGTATGCAGTGGTTTTATCTTGAATAAACACCTATTCCCATACATGTCAACTTCGTGCATTACACATCAGATATATCCAGCAGTATATTGACATTACAAGGAAAATTGAGGCAACAAATTCATTGCAATTTTACACAATAATGTAAGTGCTGGAATGATATCTAAACTACTTCCAGAACAGATTCATATGAAATATTAGCCATGCCAACAGGATCCATACCTTTAAGTTGATGAAGTTGATAACTCCACTCACCCCACCCATCACCACCACATATGTCCTGCCTACATACATACATACAGCTTACAGGCCCCTCCCACCTATCTACACATACACCTTACAGGCCCCTCCCACCTATCTACACATACACCTTACAGGCCCCTCCCATCAATATATACAGCTTACAGACCCCTCCCACCTACACATACCGCTTACAGGCCCCTCCCATCAATATATACAGCTTACAAACCCCTCCCATCTACACATACAGCTTACAGGCACCTCCCACCTACACATACAGCTTACAGGCCCCTCCCACCTACACATACAGCTTACAGGCCCCTCCAATCTATACATACAGCTTACAGACCCCTCCCATCTACACATACAGCTTACAGGCCCCTCCCATCAATATATACAGCTTACAGGCCCCTCCCATCTATACATACAGCTTACAGGCCCCTCCCACCTACACATACAGCTTACAGGCCCCTCCCATCAATATATACAGCTTACAGGCCCCTCCCATCAATATATACAGCTTAGAGGCCCCTCCCATCAATATATACAGCTTACAGGCCCCTCCCATCAATATATACAGCTTACAGGCCCCTCCCACCTACACATACAGCTTACAGGCCCCTCCCATCAATATATACAGCTTGCAGGCCCCTCCAATCAATATATACAGCTTACAGGCCCCTCCCATCAATATATACAGCTTACAGGCCCCTCCCACCTACACATACAGCTTACAGGCCCCTCCCACCTACACATACAGCTTGCAGGCCCCTCCCATCAATATATACAGCTTACGGGCCCCTCCCACCTACACATACAGCTTACAGGCCCCTCCCATCAATATATACAGCTTACAGGCCCCTCCCATCAATATATACAGCTTACAGGCCTGCTCCCATCTATACATACAGCTTACAGGCCCCTCCCACCTACATGTACAGCTTACAGACCCCTCCCATCTATACATACAGCTTACAGGCCCCTCCCACCTATCTACACATACAGCTTACAGGCCCCTCCCATCTATACATACAGCTTACAGGCCCCCCACCCACCTACACATACAGCTTACAGGCCCCCCACCCACCTACACATACAGCTTACAGGCCCCTCCCATCTATACATACAGCTTACAGGCCCCTCCCATCAATACATACAGCTTAAAGGCCCCTCCCATCTATACATACAGCTTACAGGCTCCTCCCATCTATATATACAGCTTACAGACCCCTCCCATCTATATATACAGCTAACAGGCCCCTCCCACCTACATGTACAGCTTACAGGCCCCTCCCATCTATACATACAGCTTACAGGCCCCTCCCATCAATATATACAGCTTACAGACCCCTCCCATCTATATATACAGCTTACAGGCCCCTCCCACCTATATGTACAGCTTACAGGCCCCTCCCATCTATACATACAGCTTACAGGCCCCTCCCATCAATATATACAGCTTACAGACCCCTCCCATCTATATATACAGCTTACAGGCCCCTCCCATCTATACATACAGCTTACAGGCCCCTCCCATCCATACATACAGCTTACAATAGGTAAGTTGCATTCAGGGATCCTACGCCATTCTTCCTGCAGGGCAATTGCCTAGGCATCCCTCATCAATGGCGGCTGTTGAGTTTTCCGAATCCTGCGTCCAAGTTGGTCCCAGAGGTGGTCTATGGGCGACAGGTCTGATGATCTGGCTGGCCACTGTAATACGGTCACGCTGGCCTTCAGAAAGTCGCAAGTGACTCGAGCTGTGTGATGGGTGGCGTTGTCCTGCTGAAACAGCGTCCATTGGTGGCAGGACCACAGGCCGCAAAAACTTATCAATGTAACAACGTAGTGTGATTTCCCATCTATGATGACCAGATCTGTCTTCTGGTTCCCGCAGATGCCACCCCATACCATGACACTTCCACCTCCATAGGACTCCACTTCTCCGACGCAACAACGTGCCGTCTGTTCACCCGCCCATCAGACTTGAAGAGTAGGCACTTTCTCTCGTCGCTGAAGAGCACTCTTCACCAATTTCTCGGCTACCAATGCTGTACAGTCCTGGCCCATCTCATTCTGTGATGTGGGTGTAGAAATGTTAACGTCATTCCCTTGAAAGGCCAATAGGACCGGAGACCATATAGGCGGAGTCGTCTAGCAACAGTCTTTCTGCTGACTTGATGTCCAAGGCTGTTTGCAGATGATGACGTCACAGTGAGGAATCTGGACCTCAGGTGATTGGTTTTGGTTTGTTGTTTAACGCCGCACTAAGCAATATTCCAGTTATATGACGGCGGTCTGTAAATAATCGAGTCTGGACCAGACAATCCAGTGATTAATATCATGAGCATCGATCCACACAATTGGGATTGATAACATACATCAACCAATTCAGCGAGCCTGACCACCCGATCCCATTAGTCGCCTTTTACGACAAGCATAGTCGCCTTTTACGGCAAGCATGGGTTGCTGAAGACCTATTCTACCCCGGATCTTCACGGGTCGGACCTTAAGTGAAGCACCTGTAAATGCCAGTCTTCCTGTGGGGCTGTGACCTTGGGTCTTCCACTCCTCGGCCTGTCTGCAGTACTGCCAGTTTGACTGTGATGTGCGACAAGTCTGGTGATGGTGTACTGGAAGCAGCCCATGATCCTGGCAACGTACTCCAGCATCGCTCCCATATGCAACATAGCGATGGCTCTCTCCCTCTGCTCTGTGGTGTGTCGAGGCATGTTCGTTGTCTTAAAAGGGATTCATGTGATGTGAGAGTAAAATCCTCCTCATGTTTTATACCTGAATTTCATTTGGGTAACTTTGTGCACATTTTGTACTTTTTCGTGTTTAAATTCACTTTTCTTGCAAATCACGTGAAGCATGTGCACATGTTCACATGGAATAGGTAGGTTGCATTCAAGCTGTGTGTTCCTAACTGTTTTTGTGCTGTTTGGCAAATTTGTTGAAAACTGACAACCATTATTTATTTGGAGGCATTTGTTTTGCCCCTCAGTTTATAAATACAGCTTACATGCCCCTCCCATCCATACATACAGCTGACAGGCCCCTTCCATCTATACATACAGCTTACAGGCCCCTCCCATCTATACATATAGGTTACAGGCCCTTCCAATCTACACATACAGCTACAGGCCCTCGCATGTACACATACAGCTATCAGGCCCCTCCCATCTATACATACAGCTTACAGGCCCCTCCCATCTATACATACAGCTTACAGGCCCCTCCCCTCTATACATATAGGTTACAGGCCCTTCCAATCTACACATACAGCTACAGGACCTCCCATGTACACATACAGCTATCAGGCCCCTCCCATCTATACATACAACTTACAGGCCCCTCCTTTCTATACGTACAGCTACAGGCCCCTCCGATCTAAATATACAGCTTAGAGGCTCCTCCTATGTACACATACAGCTATCAGGCCCTTCCCATCTATACATACAGCTACAGGACCCTCCCATCTAAACATACAGCTTACAGGCCCCTCCCATCTATACATACAGCTACAGGCCCTCCTATCTAAACATACAGCTTACAGGCCCCTCCCATCTATACATACAGCTTACAGGCCCTCCCATCTATACATTCAGCTTACAGGCCCCTCCCATCTATGCAGACAACTTACAGGCCCCTCCCATCTACACATACAGCTACAGGCCCTCCCTTCTACACATACAACTTACAGGCCTTCCCATCTATACATACAGCTTAGAGGCCCCTCCCATCTACACATACAGCTACAGGCCCTCTCATCTATACATGCAGCTTACAGGCCTTCCCATCTATACATACAGCTTACAGGCCCCTCCCATCTACACATGCAGCTACAGGCCCTCCCATCTATACATACAACTTACAGGCCCCTCCCATCTACACATACAGCTTACAGGCCTTCCCATCTATACATACAGCTTACAGGCCCCTCCCATCTACACATGCAGCTACAGGCCCTCCCATCTATACATACAACTTACAGGCCCCTCCCATCTACACATACAGCTTACAGGCCCCTCCCATCTATACATACAACTTACAGGCAACTCCCATCTACACATACAGCTTACAGGCCCCTCCCATCTACACATACAGCTACAGGCCCTCCCATCTATACATACAACTTACAGGCCCCTCCCATCTACACATACAGCTTACAGGCCCCTCCCATCTATACATACAACTTACAGGCCCCTCCCATCTACACATACAGCTTACAGGCCCCTCCCATCTATACATACAGTTACAGGCCCTCCCATCTATACATACAACTTACAGGCCCCTCCCATCTACACATACAGCTTACAGGCCCCTCCCATCTATACATACAACTTACAGGCCCCTCCCATCTACACATACAGCTTACAGGCCCCTCCCATCTACACATACAGTCTTACAGGCCCCTCCCATCTATACATACAACTTACAGGCCCCTCCCATCTACACATACAGCTTACAGGCCCCTCCCATCTATACATACAGTTACAGGCCCTCCCATCTATACATACAACTTACAGGCCCCTCCCATCTATACATACAGCTTACAGGCCCCTCCCATCTGTACATACAGTTACAGGCCCTCCCATCTATACATACAACTAACAGGCCCCTCCGATCTATACATACAGTTACAGGCCCTCCCATCTATACATACAGCTTACAGGCCCCTCCCATCTGTACATACAGCTACAGGCCCCTCCTATCTATACGTACAGCTACAGGCCCCTCCGATCTAAATATACAGCTTAGAGGCTCCTCCTATGTACACATACAGCTATCAGGCCCTTCCCATCTATACATACAGCTACAGGCCCCTCCCATCTAAACATACAGCTTACAGGCCCCTCCCGTCTACACATACAGCTACAGGCCCTCCCATCTAAACATACAGGTTAGAGGCCCCTCCCATCTATACATACAGCTTACAGGCCCTCCCATCTATACATACAGCTACAGGCCCTCCCATCTATACATACAACTTACAGGCCCCTCCCATCTACACATACAGCTTACAGGCCCCTCCCATCTATACATACAACTTACAGGCCCCTCCCATCTACACATACAGCTTACAGGCCCCTCCCATCTATACATACAGTTACAGGCCCTCCCATCTATACATACAACTTACAGGCCCCTCCCATCTACACATACAGCTACAGGCCCTCCCATCTATACATACAACTAATAGGCCCCTCCCATCTACACATACAGCTTACAGGCCCCTCCCATCTATACATACAACTTACAGGCCCCTCCCATCTATACATACAGCTTACAGGCCCCTCCCATCTATACATACAGTTACAGGCCCTCCCATCTATACATACAACTTACAGGCCCCTCCCATCTACACATACAGCTACAGGCCCTCCCATCTATACATACAACTTATAGGCCCCTCCCATCTACACATACAGCTTACAGGCCCCTCCCATCTGTACATACAGTTACAGGCCCTCCCATCTATACATACAGCTTACAGGCCCCTCCCATCTGTACATACAGCTACAGGCCCTCCCATCTATACATACAGCTTACAGGCCCCTCCTATCTATACGTACAGCTACAGGCCCCTCCGATCTAAATATACAGCTTAGAGGCTCCTCCCATCTACACATACAGCTTACAGGCCCCTCCCATCTGTACATACAGTTACAGGCCCTCCCATCTATACATACAACTAACAGGCCCCTCCCAGCTATACATACAGCTACAGGCCCTCCCATCTATACATACAACTTACAGGCCCCTCCCATCTACACATACAGCTTACAGGCCCCTCCCATCTATACATACAGTTACAGGCCCTCCCATCTATGCAGACAACTTACAGGCCCCTCCCATCTACACATACAGCTACAGGCCCTCCCTTCTACACATACAACTTACAGGCCCTCCCATCTATACATACAGCTTAGAGGCCCCTCCCATCTATACATACAACTTACAGGCCCCTCCCATCTATACATACAGCTTACAGGCCCCTCCCATCTGTACATACAGCTACAGGCCCTCCCATCTATACACACAACTTACAGGCCCCTCCCATCTACACATACAGCTTACAGGCCCCTCCCATCTATACATACAGTTACAGGCCCCTCCCATCTACACATACAGCTTACAGGCCCCTCCCATATACAGCTTACTGGCCCCTCCCATCTACACATACAGCTTACAGGCCCCTCCCATCTATACATACAGCTACAGGCCCTCTGATCCATACATAGAGCTA